ATATGACAAAATTATAATGAAAGTCCTTGCAAGCAGAGGTTATGAAAATGAGTTGTTCACACAGGAACATTGTACCACATCTTGTTGTCTGCATGACCTTACTTTGTCTTTGCTCAGGTTAGTGCTGTTGCCAGGATACTATTTCCTATGGCAACACTTGAGCCGGCGAGGTGAACAGCTCTGAAAGGATACAGATAACTGGCTGCTCTGTATCCAGTGGACCGGAAGTCCATACATGACCATAGAAAAATGCACAAATGCGCTTGGCCGCACATAAAAAACACCCTCAAAGTTCAGTTTGCCTCGGTGTGTTGGCTGCTATTTTCTCCCAAACATTACAAAATGACTTCCGGTTCTATTGGGCCACGATTAATTGTATCCTCTGAGGTAATTTTACATTGAAAGGTGTGGAAAATATGTGTCAGTCACCATAGGGACAAGGATGCTTGCTCATAACTCTTATTATTCTTTATGAAAGATCTATAGGTAATTTTGCCAAGCTATTTTGTTTCTTACAGCTGAGTTATATACGGCAAAATCAGCAAACTCTGTGAATACTGGAGCCTTCTGTTCAATAATGATTATATATATTCATTGCTCCATGTGAAACTCAATTTCCATCTTCATTTGAAGCAAAATGAGTGCGCCACTTTACTTGCTGTCACCCATTACAAGACAAGAGGAAATAGTTATATATGAATGCCATATGAAGCTTATTCCACATGCACATGGCAGATATCTGTACGAGAGCACACTGCCACCATTTGTTGCAAGTGTGTTACTACCTCTGATGTGCAGTTTCCTCTCACTAGTGTGGACAAGTGTAAAGTAATATTCAAAAATGTATCTTCAAGTGTTCAAATATAACCCGGCAACACAGGTAACCTTGTTTACTTCAGAGAGAACTGTTCAAATGTTTTTTGTTGACCCTGTTGTTGTGTACAATCCTTGAAATCTTCCTTGTCTTTGTTTCCTCCCTCCATTTATAAACCAAGGATGCTGCATTACAGAACACAGCGGCCAGGCAGGTATGCAAGCTTTTCACAGGAGCTTCCGGATCATTCTGGTCATTGTTGAACTTAAACAATCTGACGGCATGCTGCACGTCATCACAACCACACCACTCCCACACTTGTTCATTGACCGTCAACTCTGCTGGATTCAGATGATGAAAGGGGAGTGTCAGGGACGGTGAGCTCATACAACACTGTGCCGGGCTGAGCATTGTCTGACAGGGAGGACTCTTCATCAGTAGGGCTCTATTATGACTCATCTGTACTAAACACCCACCACCTCTCTTTACTGCGCGAAGCTTTCCTTTGTGCTGTGGTGTATGTCTCATCCAGCACTTGAGATATGAGCACTGGGTCTTGTTCTTTTGAGTAATAGGCCCACAACACAAGGATGTCAGATTGCTGCACAGGTACGTAAACAGTGGTTACAAAATATGAGCATAAAATTAAATACATAGGCCTGTGCAGCTTTGCAGGAGTGAACAAAATCTCTTTTTTCAAGAGTGACCTGGCCAAGAGGGCATAAAACATTGTTACAAGTTACAACAAGGACAAACAGACATATACGACTGTCATACCCATCAAATGAGTAAAACCACAATATACAATTAACGTGAAATACAAGATCCAGGAAAAGAACAAATATGACATTGACTAAAAGAGATAATTTCCCGATCCTTTAAAATCGACTTAAACTCCCCCACAGTGATCAGCTCTGCCAATTTCAGATCCTTCAGAAAAATAACTGCGCACAAAGGAGGGGAAATCTGTGTATTTTGTATTGTTGCAAAACTTGAGTTATCTTCTGTATCGCTACATCAGACAGGGTTACAAATCAGTGAAAGATTATGAGAGTGTGCTTGTTTTCCTGCTGTTTGCACGGTGCCCCACTTACCTGTCTTGCACTCAAGACTGTGGATCTGTGTACACTGCTGGGTTCTTAAACAGGAATCACTGGCTAAAAAGGTGGATGGATGAACAGTTCTCTAGCTTTACATGGTCAAAACTGAATGCAAGTTCAGTTCCATTTTCTAGAACTTTTTGGGAAAGACCTATGTACTTTGTTGCTTGTAATAAGGAAAATGACAATGCTAAATCAACCTACTTTTAATTAATTAAAGGTTCAGTTTGTAGGATTTAGCAAAATATGTTGGGAGAAATGGAATATAATAAAATAACTATGTTTTCTTTTGTGTATAATCGCCTGAAGATAAGAATCGTCCTGTTTTCACAAGCCTAGAATGTACTGTTTATATCTACATGGGGAGCAGGCCCTTGTCCACGGAGTCCACTGTGCTGTACAACCATGTTTCTATGGTAGCACTTAACAGGTAAACCAAATACTGACTCTAGTTAGGGCCATTTGCATTTTCATGTAGGCCACCATAGTTAGCAGCCACGTTAGGACGGGTTGCAACAGTATGAGATTTTCATGGTGTGATAACTATCTGGGTTTCCAAAACACAGGAAGAGATGTAAACATTCCTTTAAGTGCGAGCACGTACCTAGAGAATACACTTGATGATGTTGACACAGTGGAGTTTTCCGGTGGGCTCTCTCCTTTGGAGGGTGATCCAGGGTACACATCTTCAGTAGTATACCCCAGATCTCATTGGGTGTTTCGGCCATTACTACTAGACACCCTCGACTGAGGAAGGCCCTACGGGGGTGATCAAGTCCCCGCAGTGTGCCTCCCAGATCACCCTCTCAAACAGGGGCCCAGCAGGAGTCTTGCCTCTTCATCCACAGCCACTGACTGCTTCTCTCAGCTGCCTCTGACACTGCCTTAATAGCTTGGCGCAAGCTCTGGCCTTTGATTCCCAGATCTCTTAGTAGCCTGATGGTAGATGCTGACACGAACACTCTGCACCCCACCTCCACCGGAAGGACTTAAGTGATCCAGCCACAATGTTGTGCTTCAGCAGCTAGCTCAGCATAGCGTAGCCGTTTCCACTCATAAGCTTCATCCACTGAGTGCTCCCAGGGTACGGTGAGTTCAGTGATGAAAACCTTCTTCAGAGATGGGGACCAGAGTACCATGTCAGGTCTGAGGGTAGTGGTTGCTATCTCTGGAGGAAAAGCAAGCCACCAGCCAACGTCCACCAGCATCTTCCAGTCGCAGGCTGCTCGAAGCTGGTCGTGCTCCAAGGGTGTGGGGCTGCTCCAGGCTACTTGGTGGTACATGGTGTGATAACTATCTCAGAAAATATCACGGTTTCACGGTATCACAGTATTACAGACATATTATCATCAGTCAGAATTACCCTTAAAGAAATGAAAACAGAAGGGATATTTTTGATTGAACATCCTGTGATTGAAACTCTGTGTAAAGGGTTTCCCTTATGTAAAAAATAAAAATAAAATAAAGGTGAGATTTTCCATCCAGTTGCATTGTAGATGAGCAAATGTACGCAGTATGATAACCGCCAATTTTCATATCATGGTATACCCTGGTAAACCCTGGAACCTGGATACAGCTGTAACCCTAATTCAGTGTTTTTACCGGTTTAAATCACCTGGTCCATTTCAGAGGAGAAGACATTTCTGCAGATAATTCGGCTCATGGTGGAAAAACCCTCTGAATGGCTGAATCCCAAGTTATTAGACAGAAAGGCTGAGCACACAGTGAGTTATTGGAGGCAAAAGCTGAGCACACATTAGCAGGTGCTGGGCTAGCAGCCCATCTGTGACAAGCCACACAACTATACAGCATCGGAGAAACACTGACTTTTAACAAGAAACTGATTCATTCTGTGTTTTGACTGGTTTAAATCACCTGATCCTGTTGTTTAAAGGTTGCTTCAGACCAAAGATTCCCCTTGCAATGACTTGCAACTTGCAACTACGAGCACCCATTTGCAACTAAATGGCCTTGCAATGTCTGGCAACAGTACAGTTCACACCGAGGCACCGAGCTGAGACTGGCTCTTGCGACATCACGAAAACCGTTGTTGTTTCTACAGCAACAGGTACGTTACGACGTAATGTAAAGCTGAACAGCACAATAAACCCCAGGGAGCACATGGATGTATCAGCAGAGCACTCAACTCTTACTCAACTCCACTCACATGGTTAGATACTCTAATGTTACCTTTTATTTGCATTGTATTGCATTGTCTTAGAAATATCTGACCGTGACAGCTACTACTACTACTAACCTGTGTGTGCAACAGCCACAGCATGCACCCATGTGTACAGCCCACATGGGTACCCAGCTGTACAAATATGCAACAGAGTCATTCAGACCACTGCAACTTTTCTCTGCAGCATACTAAAACTGTTTCATTGTGTCTGGAATCTTTGGCCTGAACTGGCCTTTGGAGAGGAAAAGACGTCTGCTGATAATATGGCTCCTGGTAATAACCTCCTGAACATTGAACTCAGAAAGAATTCTAACCAGGAGTTCACGCTTGTCATATGGAGAAGACGTGTCAGCTGTTTGAAATCTGCAGTCCTAATCACTACATGCCACTAATTCCTACACACTGCTCCTTTAATTATAATTAATTGCTTGTGTAATCTAGATAGTAGTCAGTGCAGAGCAGGTCAGGTGAACATGTTAAGATTTGATTCTTCTCTATAGGCAAAGCAATTCAAAAGATATGAAGAATTAATTTTCCAGTAATAAACGAGGAATGATATTTTACTTTGGTCTAAATGTCGCAGTTCAAGAAATTAACTTTTTCCTACAGTTGTTGCCAAAATTGACATAAAACTGACTTACTGTGCACTGAATTGGTGCCGAAATGTACTGACTAGAATAAAGGTCATATCCAAATATAAATGGTAACAAATCAGTACGAGTGTGAGGTTTCTTATTAGGATTGATTTGTTGACTGTTTTTTATGTGCTGCACAAGCACAGCTGCACATCTCAAATGTCTGCAAACCATAAACATAACTCCTGCAGTTCCCACCCCTCGCCGCCTGGTGGCAGCATGGAGCAGAGGCGCATGTCTCCACCTCCACGCGCAACACCCATATGGGAAGCTCACGTTCATATTTCCGCATTCAGCTCGCCAGGGTGGTAACATCAAACTTTCCCTGCTCAGCTGCAGTTGCATCATATCTGAGAGTATAATGGCATCATTCCTTATCAGATTAAACATCAGGAAATGCGTCGCTTCTCAGATTAGGATGGCATCTGATCAGGTAATCTTTGACTGCGATGGATTGGTGACACATGACTTTTAACGTCGTTAGCATTAGCTTGCTAACCGCAGCACAGCAGATGGTATCGGATGGAGTTAGATAGGCTAGCTAGTTGCTAGCTTGCACAGTCATGGATCGATTTGTTGTGCCGGTTCATCGATTACCTTTCGGTGTGTGATTGTAAATACTGTAGCATATTGCTTATGGCCCCAACGTAATGTTAGAAAAGTTGCTAATCATCCATTGACCGATCAAAGACAGGTCCTGCATAACTGGAGAGGTGCTCTGCCGGTGTTACGTCACAGTGCTGTAAGGTAGCTAACTGAGTACATTTAATCAAGTACTGGCTTAAAGTTAGGTACAAAATTAGAATACTTGTAACGTTACTATATTATGTTTACAACTCTGCACCACTGCACCTCAGAGAGAAATATTGTACTTTTCCTCCACCATGTTTATGTGACAGCTATAGTTACATGAACAGTACATGCCGTACCATGACAAAATTGAGAGATTGCTTCACCTTGGACGGTAACATGACACTAATAGATACATGATCAATGAATGGAGCTATTTTTCACAAGACTTTACTTTTATACTTTAAGTACAGTTTGCTGCTAATAATTTTGTATATTTACTTGAGGTGCGATTTTGAATGCAGGACTTTTAACTTGTAAATATCTTTTTTCCATTTTGGTTTAGTTATTTTTACACAATTAAAGATCTAAGTAGGCTACAACTTGTGATACAGACAATGAAATATATGTACTTTTCCCCAAATGTGCACAAGTCTCCTAGAAGAGTGAGGGATTTTTTTTTATTTTTATTTTTTTACATCACAGAGATTGTTTAAAAGTTGCGTATTTTTCCACACTAATTAAGAATAGTATTAATTTAGCAACACCATGTTCTTCTAGGTTTGTAAGTAAGGAAGTAAAATGTATTTTTATAGTCCTTTTTACAGACATAAATTGCAAAATGATCTGCAAGGGCATTAGACAACATACAGTAAAGAAATCACGTGAGTGAATGCAGAGCCACATATTTAGAAAGTGCAAAACTTATAGCACAATACATAATAATAAAAAACAATACAAAACAAGAAAACACAATGTATATAAAAAAAACCGCAGATCTAGTGTATACAGGTTTCTTAAATGCCTCTCTTAGGGATATTATATTTTTCGTGACGATCGAGAAGTTTAAGATGGTCATCGAGTTCAGTTGTAGTATGAGCAGATAAAAACAATACCATGTATTCAGAGAAATAACATAGTTTCCTGAAGCAAATAACAGAAATGTCTGCACAACAATTATTTGGAGTAACAGCAGTAAAAAACAAACAAACAGGTGCATTGAATGTATTTTAGATTCACACGATGAGCATATAGGGGAAATTGCTTTTATATTTACCAGTTTGTTAAATAGGTACAAGTAAGGCAGAGCTTACTTTCTTTACAAACATGAAATGTGTTTGTTTTTTATCTGAAAAAAGTGTGGACCACCAACAGATAGTCTTGGAATGATAGCTGCACATGTACATATTAATTCTGACAATTCCCTCTGTTTAATTCAGCTTGGTGAGCTGGGCAAGGGAGCAGGCAAGGGTGGAGGTGGAGGAGGCTCCATCAGGGAGGCCGGGGGTGCTTTTGGAAAGCGGGAAGCGGCACAGGAGGAACGGTACTTCAGGTGAGAAGCATGTCATTGCATTAGTAATCACACTGTAGAAGGCTCATGCCTGTATCTTTGGTTTTCCACGAGATTCACTTCTCTTCATTTCGTTTCCACCTGCAGGCAGAAAGAGAAGGAGCAGATGGCAGCGCTGCGGAAACATCACTCAGAAGAGATTGACCACCACAAAAAAGAGATTGAGCGCTTAAAAAAGGAAATTGAACGTCACGAGGGCAAGATCAGAAAGCTGAAACATGATGACTAAAGCTGGGAAGCCTGTTACCACTCCTCCTCCCAGCCATCTGATTGCCAAGTCAATAATTATCTGATACAGATTGATTTGTTGCTGGTCAAGGCGGGTCCTGTATAAGATGTTATAATGTCATCCTCAATTCCAATAAAGTGCTTAATTTTTCATTTACTTGAAAGTTTTTTTAACATGAGTGTGTGTTTGTATGTCCCTCCTGCTTATTGTCAGTTTGTCAGTTGTGGATTGTGCTTTGAACTGTGTTAGACAAATGAGGCGGATCCTCTTTAAAGATGGCTGAATTTCATTGGGCTGGAGTCGTGTCGGTCAAAGTTCAGCCTCTGTGATTGGATAATTGGTAATGAAGCGCTCGTTTTCAATCACCGCGCTGCCCGCTCGGGTTAAAAGTTGTTGCTGGGGCGTAACTATTTCTTCTACCTTTGTTAGTATGAAACAATGCTATTTTCGTACCTTGTGTTTAGAATGAGTGTATCTTAGCAGGGGAGCCGAAAGATTTGCTCAATAATATTGATATTGCTTTATTTAGGTCAGTTCTACATGATGGCACCGCATTACGGTTTGTTGTGCAGGAAGTCGACTCAGCGCTATAAATTCTGACATTTGAATTTTAAAGTATGTCTTCACTTATCTACCAGACACATGACTAATAAGATAAAAGGTTTCTGTTTTTGTTGGCAAAAACGCCGCGCCCGGGTGAAAATCACCATGAAAAGACGAAGTCAAAACAAACACACCCGCCCCAACTGTGCGTTTCCCCCCCCCACATCTCGCGATGATTGCCGAGCGGTGGCGTTGTTCGGGCGAGCCGACGACGAGACCGAAGCTGTCTGGAAATTTGTCTCGTGGGTTAGACTGAAACGTATTCTTCGTATTAGACATTTTTGTGTACGTGCGTGAATTTAATCGTTTCACATTTTAACACACGCCACTGTTAGTGTCCCGAATTAGACCGGTGAGTTTTGCTAACTATCTGTTTGCACCTTGTACGGAGCGTGTGTGTTTGTGTGTGTGTGAAAGCTGTCTCTGCACGGCGAGGCCTTCGTATAAGCTCGTTAGCTAGCCAGCAAGCTAACCAATATTATTGTTAGCTCAAGATAAAAAATATCGGAGCTCTGTTTTGGTCTGTAAATTGTTAAATACACCTGCCTACAGTAATTGCTGCTATGCAGTAACACCTATTGCATGTAAATGTGATAATAAAATGTGTGCACCTCGGTAGCTAGCAAGCTGCATGTGAAGGGGGCGGGACGGTGGTTTCTTGAAGTGACCGGGCAATACTTGCACGTTTTCACATCAATTTCTATTACAACAAATGCATTTCCTAGTAGATTCTTGTCACAACTTTTAGAATTGCCTTTTATTTTTATTTTCAGTTGTGTGTAATGTCCCTAAGTTACACAGGCCATCAACCAAAAGTCAGATCACAACAGCCACCCATTTGAAAACAGTTTGCTTGATGACAGATATATAAACCTTCTCTTTATTGTTTTTTCTTTTGATATTTGAATTTTAAAAACACTAAACATACTAGAACTATCAACAACAGAGAAAAAAAACAGACGCTGCATTATATGAATAATTAAAAAATACGGAAAACAGGAATATTACAGGAAACAGATTAATAGCATAGCACATTAAAGTCAAACTCTGTAAACAGGAATGCAAGTGTTTCCAAAGTCTGCAGAATTTGTCTGAGATATGATCCAGATCATAGGTCAGTTTCTCCAGAGGGACAATAGCTGATATCTGTGATGTCCACATGCCGTCTGTGGGGACCTGCAGGGCAGACCAGCATAGCAATGTGCACTTTGTAGCCAGACAGGAGAATTTAATAACAGAAATTTGGTGTCTGTATCAGAAAGATTTTCTGAAGTGTGATTTAACAGATAAAATAAAGACGACAATTAAAAGTGTTTACTGGTAACCTCCCGGATCGCAGAATGAACCTCTCTCACGAATGTATGGGTCACATAACTAGAACAAAAGGATACATGTACCTTAATGTGTTGTTCATTTGTAACAGATTTGAGCTGTTTAGGAACATTTTCTGGAGGTTAATAGATATAAAATAAGTCTGATGGGGAAAAAAAGAAATTTTGTTAATTATTTTTTTGTTGCCATATATTGTTTTTCAGGACAATGGCTGCCGCTGAGGTGAACGGCAGCTCTGCCACACCTAAGGAGGAAGAGGAGCCCATGGATGTGACAACAACACACACAGAGAACTACCAGACGCTCATTGATGCTGGGCTGCCCCAGAAAGTGGCTGAAAGTCTAGATAACATCTTCCAGACAGGTGGGTAATAGATGTTTTGACACAAAGAGCTATGAGATCTCATATTGACAAGCTGTGCTGTAGTAGTATTGTTATCTACTGTAGCTGAGCCTGACAGTGAACATGTTTTGAATTTGTAGGCTTAGTGGCGTATGTTGACCTAGATGAAAGGGCCATTGATGCACTGCGTGAGTTCAACGAGGAGGGAGCGCTTACTGTGCTGCAGCAATTCAAAGAGAGCGACCTGTCCCACGTACAGGTAACCACATAACTGGTTTATAGCCCTTCTTGTCTTAAACAGGAGTTTGATGTTAATGTAGATCATAAATAACAACATCTCTCTGTTTTTATTGTAGAATAAAAGTGCTTTCCTTTGTGGAGTCATGAAGACTTACAGACAGAGAGAAAAACAAGGAAGTAAAGTACAAGAGTCCACCAAGGGCCCAGATGAGGCAAAAATAAAGGTAAACAAAGTCGTGTGGTTGAGGTTTGTTTTAACGCAGGTCATTATTAATGTCATGTAAACATTCCTCTGCAGCTCAGTTAATGTTTTGCTTTGTGTGTTTCCCAGGCTCTGTTGGAGCGGACAGGATACACCCTGGATGTCACCACAGGGCAAAGAAAGTATGGCGGTCCCCCACCTGAGGATGTGTTCAAAGGAACACAACCAGGGATTGGAACTGAGGTAGATAAGTAATATATACAGCAGCTCATCATGGATTTTCAAGTCCCTAATTTTAAATGTATTAGGTCAGTGCTGCTGTGTCATTCATAATCCTGCACAACATGCTGTATATTGCAATTTACAAATCCATGCACCTATCCACCTGTTTTCTTCATCAGGTGTTTGTCGGAAAAATCCCAAGGGATTTGTATGAGGATGAGCTGGTGCCGCTCTTTGAGTCAGCTGGTGCCATCTGGGACCTCAGGCTAATGATGGACCCTCTCTCTGGTCAGAATAGAGGTTACGCCTTCATCACATACTGCAATAAAGATGATGCACAAAAGGCTGTAAAGCTTGTAAGTAGAATGGCAATGCATTGAAAGAAATATATTAAACAGTTTAACGGTTATTAGTTTTAAAGGAATACTCAAGATATTTTGGAAATGGTCTTGATTTGATTCCTAGAGTTTTACTTTACTTTCACATTGCTTAATTTTTTAAATTGCTGTTCATGTACAATGAATTTCACACAGTTTTTGGCCTCTTCATTTTGTTTTAAGTGTGATAACCATGAAATCCGCCCTGGCAAGTACTTGGGAGTGTGTATATCTGTTGCAAACAATCGCCTGTTTGTCGGATCAATTCCAAAGAACAAGACGAGGGAAAGTATATTGGAAGACTTTGGCAAAGTCACAGGTCAGTCTCAAAAGCACATTTGTGGATCTGTGTCAGACACTCATTAAAACAAATCTTTATTAAGAATAGAAAAATAGATAGAAAGTCAGAGATGTTCCTGTTCAATCTTACAGAGGGTCTCCAAGAAGTGATACTGTACCACCAGCCAGATGACAAGAAGAAGAACCGTGGCTTCTGTTTCCTGGAGTATGAGGATCACAAGTCCGCAGCACAGGCTCGCCGCCGCCTGATGAGCGGCAAGGTCAAGGTGTGGGGAAACCCAGTCACTGTAGAGTGGGCTGACCCTGTTGCTGAGCCAGACCCAGAGGTCATGGCCAAGGTTAGTTCCTTGTCTTTCTGTCTTTAAAGTTATAGTATGTAGGATTGTCAGTTACTGTTTGTTAAAACACTTGCTAGCGAAAGTAAAAGCCAACCCCAGATCCACTCTCTTTGGCATTTCGTTTTGCTATGTTTGCATTTTTTCTGCGCTGTCTCGTGGATGCCTGCTGCTCATGCTCTGGCACCTGGACGCTGTAGGGGGCACCTGTGGGGGTACATGCCCATAAATGTCCTTCACATCTTCACGTAGAAAATAAAACACAGGCAGAGTCTCTACAGAAAAATACACTGCCACACGAGTCATAAGTGATAATTGAGAGGGAGTCTATACATTGTTAATTAGGAAAATTCTGCATAGAATGTCCTTGAAAGACAACCATTCACTTTTCTCAGGGTAACAAACATCCTGTTTTTTGTTGTCACAGGTTAAAGTGCTCTTTGTAAGGAAGCTGGCCACAGCAGTGACTGAAGAGCTCCTTGAAAAGACCTTCTCTCAGTTTGGAAAGCTGGAGCGAGTGAAGAAATTGAAAGACTACGCCTTTGTGCATTTTGAAGAAAGAGATGCTGCTGTAAAGGTGGGGTTTATTTATCGCTTGGACAAGATGTTTCGTATGTCTGCTGATTGTGTGTATGTTACAGTAATAGATTGTTTTGTTCGGTTAGGCAATGGATGAGATGAACGGGAAGGAGCTAGGAGGAGAGGAAATTGAGATCGTCCTGGCAAAGCCCCCAGACAAGAAGAGGAAAGAGCGCCAAGCAGCTCGGCAGACCACCAGGAATGCAGGGTGAGGGACAGAGACTTGACTCGTCAACTGCCCAACTCTCTTATAAGGAATTCATTAAATGTAACACTATCTTCCCCTCTGCAGGTATGATGACTACTACTATTACCCTCCTCCTCGCATGCCGCCACCAGGCCGAGGCAGGGGTCGTGGTGGCCGAGGGGGCTATGCCTATCCACCAGATTACTATGGATATGATGACTACTATGATGACTACTATGGCTACGACTATCATGACTACCGTGGTGGCTATGAAGACCCTTACTACGGCTACGAAGATGTGTACAGCATGAGGGGCCGTGGTACTCGTCCCAGCAGGGGGGGGCCTCCTCCGCCTAGAGCTCGTGGAGCACCCCCAGCACGAGGCCGGGGGGGCTACGCCCAAAGAGGGCCACCCCTTGGTGGTCCAAGGGG